TTATTATATGCAGTTTCCAAATGGAAAACTGAGGCACAGATAATTTAAGTGTTTTGCCCAAAGTCACACAGGATGTCCCTCCAAATGGCTCTCTATGAACATTAAAAATCCCGTGGCACTTTCATCAGAGTTCTAGCCAACTCCACCAGCCTCCTTGGTCAATTTTCCCATCTCCTCCTTTATTGTGCAGTGCACTATTCAGTTCCCGCACTCCTCGTACCATAGAGATGGCTGGGTTTCTTTCTTTCTCTTTTCTTTTTTTTTAAACAGGAAGGATTTAATGATATCTTTCCAAAATATACAATTAGGAAAAGCTGTTATGTAGTCTGATAAAATTGAATGGAAAAAACCCACCCTATTCATACACCATGAATATTGCATATTTAAATATAAAAGAGTCAAGAAATACTAACGTTAAGCTTGATTCTTCTTTCTTTTACACAGACTTCAATGGAGTTATTCCTGATTTATAAGGGTAGCAAAGGAGAATCAGATCCAAGAGCAGGGTGGATAAAAATCAATGATTTTTTTTTAATTGGATTTTTTTTGTTAAAATGCTTTTTGAGGAAAAAAAAATCTATCTAAAGATCGTTTTAATTAAGATACATTATAGCTCAAAGCTATCTCATCATGGAATAGGGATTATAAATTCTAATTCTATAGTATGAGACAATATATTCATGCAATGTTTAAGAAAAGTTTTGTAAATGAGTTCCAATAGTTCATGGATTAGGGACCCAATCTTATGGGTTCCAGGGGCTTCTGTATAGATTATTTAGGTTAATCTTTCTAACTACCCAATGGGACTCAGTGCTCAGTCTAGAAGATGCCATCAGAGATGCTTAGTTTTGCAGTTCTCAAACTGTGGATTTGTGACTCCAGTTAACAGCAAAAATGTTTTCAAATAAAATAAATAAATAAATAAATATACAGAGGTGAGAAATAACAGACCTCAACCCTATTGTCCCTCTGCAAATTTGTGTACATAGAGTCAATCCCTTATCTCCCTCTAAAAATGAAAACTTTCAAAAAGTTCAATGAATAGAAGATTGTTGGGGTGGAATAAATCTGGACAAGGAGAAGAAGTCTGGAGATAAATGTGAGAAGGGAGGGACAAGCAGTAGAAACAAAAGTGAAACTGTTTAAGCAGCATATTCCAGAAGTCTTGAGGTCTTTCTGAATGTAGCCTTCATTAATTTGAGTTCTACCATACCATTCTCTCACTAAAAGGGAAAACCTATAATGGCAGCAGGCCGTAAAAGAGACCCAGTTTGGGAATATTTTAATTAAGTTCCTCTACCTGTGAGTAAGACAGGCATGCGTGCAAAATGCAAACAGTGCAACAAAGAAATGCAAGGCCTGGTTGCCCGAATGAAACAACATGATGAGAAGTGTTCCTTCTCAGGATGAAGCTGCTTTGAAGGTGAAGAAAGGAACATGTCTGAACATGCAGGATCTTCAGTTTGGTAAACTTTTTTATTTCATACTTCTTTCTTAAGGACTGCCTGTCTTCCTTCTGGACTATTCTTGAATTCTCATGTTTGAACAAAAAATATAGTTGTTACTCTATTGTTCTATCATTTTAGATGCAGTTGTGATAAAAAATAAATAGCTGAAATAGGCAGATCTTCCTTTTACAATTTCACCTTTAAAGTAGTACTGAGTGTCAGTAAATGCAATGAGGGATAATAAATGAGCAGTATGGTCATAATAATTAAATAACTGCATTGACTTATTTTGTTTAGGAGAATCCATCCTCAACATACAGGATTCTGAAGATTATCCACCTTCAAGATCACCATCATTTTCTATAGTTTCAGAGTTATCTGCCAATGACAGTGTTTCAGTCACATCATGTATGTCACATAGCCAAAGTATATCATCTCTAGCAAAAACAAAACAAAAAATCTCCATCATCCAGAAACAACCATAGATAAGTTTGTGATAAGAACCAGCAGATTACAAAAAGAGGTAATTGATGAAAAAATTGCCCGGTTTATTTATGCAACAAAGTCTCCTTTCTGTATGATTGAGAACCTACCCTTCATTAACATGATTCAGTCATTAAGACCAGGATACAGTCCACGCACCAGAGCAGACATCGCAGGCAAATTGCAGTGTGCGAAAGGTCTAGAGGGTGAAATTGTTAACCTGAGTCTTGATGGGTGGCGCAATGTCCACAATGATCCTGTTGTATGTGCTTGTGTGACAACAGAAGAAGGGAATGTCTTCCTTACAAAAACAATTGATACATCAGGAAATGCACACACAGCAGAATACTTACAAGAAGTAGCAGTAAAAGCTAGAACAAACCGTGAAAAAAAATTCAAATGTCTAGTACGCAGCTTGGTCACAGACAATGTTGCAAATGTATCCAAGATGAGAAGAAATTATTTAGAAGAGAGTCCCAACCTAATAACATACGGTAGCAGTGCTCATTTGATGCACTTCCTTGCCAAACACTTCAGTGTTCCAAAAATAAAGGCAAAGTTGAAATTGCAAAATACTTCTGTAACAACCACTTTGCAGCAGCTGCTCTGAAAAAAGTGGAGGAACCAAGCTAACTCTCCCACAAGATGTGCAATGGAACTCAGTAGTGGACTGTATTGAGGACTATATCAAGAACTGGCCTAATCTGATGACAGTTTGTGAACAAAATCATAAAAAAAATAGATGGCACTGTCACAGCCAAAGTTCTCAACATTGGGCTTAAGAGAAATGTTGAACACATGCTGAGTACCCTGAAGCCTATTTCGGTAGCCTTGAACAAAATGCAGGGAAATAGCTATTTTATTGCTGATGCTGTTGAAATTTGGAAGGAATTGAGTGAGATCTTAAAAAGAAATATGCAATGACAGAGTTAAATTCCAAGCATTAAAAAAAACAAATGGGACAAGCACTCCAGCTCATCTCCAGCTCATATTCTCAATACTCGGTACCAAGGTCAAACCTTAACTGCTGAAGAAGAGGAGTTGGCTATGACAGGGACATCCAGCAATCATCCCTCCATAATGCCAGCTATAATAAACTTCAAAGCTAAGGGTTAACCACTCAAGAAATATATGTTTGCTGATGATGTGTTAAAGAAAGTCACACCAGTGAACTGGTTGAAGTCACTTAAGCCCTTGGATTCAGAGACTGTTGAAGTGATAACACCACTTTTAACAGCAGTAGCTTCTTCTGCTGGTGAAGAAAGAATATCTTCTTCCTCTGGACTAATTCATTCCAAATTGAGAAATTGTTTGGGACCTGAAAAAGCAGGAAAGCTTGTTTTTCTTTTCCAGATTAAGAACAAACAGGAAAATGAAGGTGAAGACAACTGAGTTAGCTGCAGAAGCCAATATTTTCAGTTTCTCATGTTGACCTGCCTGACATAGTCGATTTAAATGAAATATTTAAAAAAACAAACAAAAAAATTAACTATTTTAGTTAAAAACAAAAACAAACCTGATTTTAAAAAACTTGAATGTTTCACTAAATTCAAAAATTCATATGCTTGTTTTGTTAAAAAATTATGTTTGCTGTTGAAGAAAAAAAATTCAGAATACATAACGTTGTTGTTTTAGTTAAATAAAACAATTTAAATGTCTGTCTGGTGATGTTCGCCTCCTAATACAGGATGGCAAGAAAATCCTCCAAATATTAACGATTAACCTGTTGAACTGGAGATAGTTCACCTCCCAATGACTTCATAAATATCTGCTTCAATTATCTTTGTTAAATGAAATAACCAAACAATCATTCATTTTCTGATATAGCTGTAAAAGTAATCTGAAACGTTTTCAAAATAAGTCACTTAAAAATGTACCTTCTAAAAATGAAATCTACATCTATCTCTGAGTTGTGAAGAATATGTATTAAGGTTACAACAACCAACAAGAATGCACTTTTATGTAGAAATCCATGATTAAATTGAGTCTTCCTGACTAGTGATTTAAATCAAGCTGATTTAAATCAAATCCACTGTGTCCAACATTAACTTGCACTTGTTGCATATACTGGGCCAAATTCTCCTTTGGTGTAAATCAGTGCAGCTCCACTGACTTCAATGCAGGTAATCCAGTTTACACCAGCTGAGTATCAGGCCCTACATATTTAGGTATACGTGTAATGACCTAATTAATCATTGGAAATACATGCAGTGTGAGAGAATCCAAACAGCTGGGGTGGAGCGGAGTGAGTTCACACCATTGCTGGTATAAAAGTGCAGCAGCAACAAAAAGACCAACAGCTATATTGTGCCTCGTAGGCCCAGCCCTGCATTGGGGGCATTGCACAGCTGCATGGCTGTAGGTGCCGCATCTGCCTCAGAGGCCTGGTCTGCGCTAAGCAATGTTACCATGTCTCCTCACCACTATGAGCTACAATGTTCTGATATGAGATGCTGAACGTGTTCAGCGGTCAGTGCAGACCAGGACAAACCATGGTCATGCCAGCACAAATACCGTCAATATCAACCTTGAACAAACATGACAAAGTTTCATGGTGTAGACTAGGCCAGAGAAGCAGTTGCCAACCCCAAAGATTCACAAATCATAAATCAGGAGCCCAAAAGTCATGAGATTATAAAACAACAATAAATGTTGGGTTTTTTTATTTACCTACTGGCTTTTGAGCCTTTAGGGTTTGGGTTTTTGAGCTTTTCTCTGCAACCATGAAGGCTAGAAAACCATGAAAAAAAAAAAGTTGCGATTCCCACAACCAAGTATTTCAGGAGTTAGGACTTTAAGTGAAAACATTAAAGGTTATGAGACTTGCTATAAAATTGCAAGAACTGATAACAGTGTGCCCGGTGCTTCCCAGTTCTCTGCCTGCCAGGGTGGGGGTGGAGAGCAGGGAGGGTTGAGTCCCTTGAGTACACAGACAGATTCTGCCTAGCCCTTATGTGGGTCATGCATTTGGAAGGTGATCTGCCCAAAAGTATATTAGTATCTAGAATGAAACCCTCAGAAAACAAGCATCAGGAAAGGCTGCTTCACATACAGAAGAAAGACACCTACCTCTTCAACTCAGCAATAAGCAGAGCCGTGCAGGGGACACCTAATGTCATTAATGAGATGTTGTTGATAGCAGGCTTAATGAATGCCAGGCATGTAGTAACTCCAGAAAGGACACCGACTGCAGCTTTAAACCTTGCCCTGAATAATTAAAGAAAAAGGGTACATTTTGCTTTAATTAAACCTTAAATTAATGATAAACAAGAAAAGACAACTATAAAATCCTAAACATGTTTAAAATTGTTGTAAACAACATTTCTTTGAATAGGTATAAGAAACGACCCACACTATGACAACAACATGATGTGTACAGAATGTCTACTTTGGTCCCAATCTGGCAAAGACTTTAACTTTGCATACCTATGTGTCTCGTGCATAAGTCTTCGCAAGACTGCAGCCTTGAAAGTTTAATATTTTATATACACACTGATCATAAATATTTGAAACTGAGGCCCTATTCTGATCTCTCTTATTCCAGTATAAAACGTGAGCTATTCCACTGCATTCAATTGAGTTACGAGGTCTAAAACCAGTGCAGTGTTGCCAATTCTCATTATTTTACAAGTATCATGATATTTATTATTTCCCTTAAAGCCCTATTTACTGGAATCATGTTAGGTTAGAATCTCAGCTTTCATTTTTTTAATAAAGTGTGTTTCTAGCTTGCCTGGTTGCAGAGAAAAGCTTGCAAACCTGAAATCTAAAGGTTCAAAACCTCACAAAGGTAATACAGAGATTTTTTTTATTTTTTAGATTTTTTTTATAAGTCATGATTCTTAAACCAATGATTTTGGGAGCCCTGACTTGTGTTTTTTTGAAGTTCAGGTTTAGCAATACTCCCAGTATAATTAAAGGCAGAATCAAGATCTGAATGTGTATAGTATACAGCCTGATAAATTCAAATTTTAAATTCACCTTAAACTCTCTTTAAATTTTGGCTTGGACAGACTACATACTTTAAACATCATGTTTCTGGGGTCTAATCTATGGGAGGGAAAAAAAAAATGTCCTCCAAGCTGGAGTTCTCTCAGAAGTCACATTCTGGATGCACTTCTTATAGCGCAGAGTTAGGCAAACAGCTTCATTTGAAGGTAACTGACCATTATTTGCCTGTTTTTCAAAACTCTCCCTTGCCCCTCTTAACTTCTGTAAAGAAAAAAAAATAATCTCCCTGAAATTTCATATCCCAGATTAAATTTTTTCTCAGGAGTTTTAAAGTTACAGGACCTGATTCTTGTATTCACTGTAGATCAGTCATCTCCTGAGATCTGACTGCAGGGAGCTTTGCCATTGACTTCAATAGATCCAGGATTTCATCCCAAATGTCTATTGTTCCTTTTTTTATTTAAATAAGAAGAGCACTGAGAAACAGTTTAACAAGGAAGCTGTTTAACCCTGTTAGCAATACTGTGAGTCTATGCACAGAACAGTTGCTGGATGTAACATTCAGTTATGTAAAGCAATGACTAAAGGATTTTTTTTGGCTAATTCTTATGTGTTCATATATTTTTGGACAGCATGAAATGTCCTATAGTTGAATCAAATGTCAAAATGCTGCCAACCACGTAATGAAACGCTGCTACAAAACCTCTGCTTCATTTTTGCTTTTGGGAGTGAAAGAGCAGGCAGCGTGTCCTATAAAAGCACTGTGTTGCAATATGCAGAAGTAAACAAGAGTCACACAACTGGGACAAAGTCATGAGATTGGAATGACAACGGCATATGGTCATTTAAGATGCACTTTTCATAATGAAAGCAATTTGAGGAGTGTTCTGGTGGAAAGTTCAAATCAAAGATGTTTTTAAAATAAGATGATCCTCCAATAAGATTTGTGACAAAAACAAAACAGCTGATCCTAGGAAGACAGGAAGCAATGGAGTACACTAATATTAGCAATGAGTGGGCCTGGAGGTAACAAACAGCTGGAAAAGAATAGCATGAGGAAGGACAGTAGCAACAGTGGCAAAATTACGTGGTTATTCAATGTAGTTACATGCAGGTCTAGATGCTAATGCAATGAGCTTCAAGACACAATCAGGGAACCATCCTGAGTTCTTTAAGATAGATTTTACCTGAGTTAATATCTTTTATTGGACCATCTGTTGGTGAGAGAGACAAGCTTTCCAGCTTACACAGAGCTCTTTTTGAGGTCTGGAAAAAGGTACTCAGAGTGTCACAGTGAAATACAAAGTGGAACAAATAGTTTAGCATAAATAGTTAACACATATTTCAAGAGACTATTCATCGTAAAATGGCCCGATAACACCTCTCCAGTCACAGGGGGAAAGGAAAAATAAAACTGAGGATGTGATATAGCAGGGTACAATCTAGACCAGGGGTCGGCAACGTTCGGCACGCGGCTCGCCAGGGTAAGCACCCTAGTGGGCCGGGCCAGTTTATTTACCTGCTGACGCGGCAGGTTCAGCCGATTGTGGCCCCCACTGGCCGCGGTTCGCCATCCCGAACCAATGGGGGCTCCGGGAAGCCGCGGCCAGGACATCTCTCGCCCGCGCAGCCCCCACTGGCCCGGGACAGCGAACTGCGGTGAGTGGGGGCCGCAATCGGCT